TGGCAAGCTGGGCACCCTGCGGTGCCTCTGTGCTCATGCGCTCTGGGTTTCTGTGCAAGTACGCAAGCGACAAGATTAATTCAGCCCTGGCTCCAGGATTTAATTCCTAGAGGCTCTGGGGAACAAGCTGCCTCTTGAAGAACGACGATACCAGCAAATCTGGCTGACGATTTAGCACGGTTTTCCCCGAGGACAAGAATAAGCAGAAAGCGGGGAAAGTGATTAGCAGGGGCAGAGACCCCAAACTAGGGTTTGTTCCCGGTAAACAGGGATGGCTGTAACCTCTGTAGTGCCCCCACATCATGTCCAAGTCTGCCCTGACCATCAGACTCTGTTGTGAGTTCTTTGCTCAGATACTCATAAAAGAATAAGAAGAGCCCTGCTGGATCAGACTGGTGGTCCATCTAGTCCAGCATCCTGTCTCACACAACAACCAGCCAGTTGTCCCGGAAGGCTAACAAACGGAAAGAAGAAGAGGAGGAGGAGGAGGAGGAGGAGATTGGATTTATACCCTGCCCTTCACTCAGTCTCAGCTTACAAACTCCTTTCCCTTCCCCTCCCCACAACAGACACCCTGTGAGGTAGGTGGGGCTGAGAAAGCTCTCTTGAGAACTGCTCTTTCCAGGACAGCTCTGCCAGAACTATGGCTTGCCCAAGGTCATGCAACAGCTGTAAGTGGAGAGGGGGGGAATCAAACCCAGTTCTCCCAGATTAGAGTCCGCACACTTAACCACTACACCAGACTGGCTCTTCCCCAATGCTGCTTCCCAGCACTGATATTTAAAGGTCTGCCGTCTAGGTATAAGGAGGCTCCCTTTCACCACCATGGCTAATAGCCAGTGATGGATCCATTAATCTGTCTAACCCCCTTTTAAAGCCATCTGTGCTCACGGCCGTCCTTATGCGCACTGGCAATGGATTCCACAGTTCAATTACTCATTGAGTAAAGGAGTATTTCATCATCAATAAATTACGCAATTAGAGGAGAACAGAATAAAGGAGTATTTGCTTTTGTCCATTCTGAATCTACCTGCCCATCAACTATATTGGGTGGCCCCAAAATTGCGGTACTTTGGGAGAGAGAGAAAAAGCTCTCTCTGTCTGTTCTCTCCATCTTATGCCTGATCTTAGACGCCTCTATCATTTCCCCCCTCAGCTGTCTTTCTTCTAGACTGAACAGTGCTAGATACTCGAGCTTTCACTCATAGGAATGATGCTCCAACCCCCTAATCATGTTTGTTGCCCTGTTCTGTACTTTCCCCCCCAGCTTTGCAATGTCCCTTTTGAGATACAGTGGCCCAAACTGCACACAGTATTCCAAATGAGGTAGATCTATATGGGGGCATCACAATATCGGCCATGTTACTTTCAATCCCATTCCTAATAATCCATGCTGTTAAATCTGCCCTTTTCAGCTCAGTTCCCAATCATGCAGGGGCCCTATTCAAATCAGAACCATGGCATTCAGAAAGAGGCAGTTTAAGCATTCCTTAAAGTAAAGGTAAAGGTTCCCTTATGGGGGCATCACAATATTGGCCATTTTACTTTCAGTCCCATTCCTAATAATCCATGCTGTTAAAGCTGCCCTTTTCAACTCAGTTCCCAATCGTGCAGGGGCCCTATTCAGATCAGAACCATGGCATTCAGAAAGAGGCATTTCTTAAAGTAAAGGTAAAGGTTCCCTTGCTCGAAAGCCAGTTAAATCCGA